AACAGAAAAGAAGCAGGTAAAGACGGGATACCAAACGAATTGCTGATATATTGTAGAGAAGCAATGAGAGAACAATCAACAACATTAAGTAAGAAAATTATAAAACACACTAAATTACCGGAAGAATGGAGAACAAGCAACCTAATTCTACTATTCAAAAAATGAGATAAAAAACAGCCAGAAAACTACAGAAGTATAAACTTCTTAAATACTACGCTAAAACTTACAACTAAAATTTGTAGTACTAGTAAATGAGAGGAGTTTAGCAAATGAACTACAGGGTTTTCGTAGTGAAAGATCGTGTACAGATGCAGATCCAATGTTCGTTATAAAGCAAATTAGTGAGAAATCATTAAATAGACCAGCATTTATGTGTCTGATTGAACTAACGAAAGCGTTTGACAGAGTAAAACTCAAAGATGTAATCCATCTTCTATATAATAGAGAAATTCCCTAAATATTATAAAAACTATCGAAAATATCTACCAAAACAACAAAATGGAAATAAGAATAGATGGACAACTTACATAACCTATAGAAATAGGCAGCGGAATAAGACAAGGGGATTCATTGAACCTCAAGCTCTTCAATTTGATCATGGATGAAATTATTCTGGAATATTTAAACAAACTCCTACGTCTTTCATCGAAGATAAACATGGGAACCCGCTACTGAACATAGAAGATCAAATAGGTAGATGGAGAGAATACGTGGAAGGGATGTTTCAAGACCGAGAGAGGACGAACATTTACATGCAGGAGGCATCGACTGGACCTTATATCACAAAGCAAGAAATTATCAAAGCGGCAAATCAGATAAAGAACGGAAAAGCTGTTGGGGAAGATAATAACCCAATTGAAATAATAAAGATATTCCTACACGAACACATCGAAGTAATGGAAGATATATTTAACAAAATATACGAAACAGGAATAATACCAAATGATTGGCTGACATCTGTGTTTATACCCCTACCAAAGAAGAGAAACTCCAAGAAATGTGAAGACCATAGGATTATTAGCCTGATGAATCATATGTTGAAGCTTTTCCTACGAGTAACACACAATAGAGTATACAATAAACTAGACGAACACACTGGTCAAACTCAGTTTGGTTTTAAGAATGGGTTCGGAACAAGAGAAGCACTTTTTTCAATACGTGTGCTAGTTGAAAGATGTAGAAATGTCGATTCTGATGTATACTTGTGTTTTATAGACTTTCAGAAGGCGTTTGACCTGGTGAAACATGATAAACTAATAGATATTTTAAGGTCATGTAATATCGACGATAAAGACTTAAGGATCATTTATACCTCTACCAAGAATAAAAGGCTAAAATCAGAATAAAAAGCGAAACATCTGGAAAAATCAATATCGAGAAGGGAGTAAGACAGGGATGTGTCCTATCACCTTTGCTGTTTAATGTTTACTCTGAGAAGATATTTCAGAAAGCTTTGGAAGGCACCTCGCATGGTATAATTATAAACGGGCAATGTATAAATAACCTGCGATATGCTGATGACACTGTCATACTGGCAGATAATGCTGAAGCCCTGCAACGCTTAATGGACCGAGTAACGACAGCCTGTAGAGAATTTGGAATGAAATTGAATACAAAGAAGACAAAAACGATGGTCATCAGCAAGCACCAAAACAGAAGGGTGAAGGTCAATGTCGACGGAACAGATCTGGAAAGAGTAACAAGAACAACGTACCTTGGAAGTAATCTTGATGAAACTTGGGACCACTCACTAGAGATAAGAATACGCCTGGAAAAGGCACGTACAATGTTTAACAAAATGCAAAAAGTTCTATGCAACCGCCAGCTGGGCATCTCATTGAGAACTAGAATACTTAAGTACTATGTTTTCTCCACCTTGCTCTATGGTGTTGAAGCCTGGACAATGACAGAATCAATACAAAAAAGAATCCAAGCATTCAAACTCTGGTGTTACCGTAAAATGCTCAGAATATCCTACATGAGCTATACGACAAATGCGGAATTCTTGCGGAGGATGAATAAGGAAAGAGAGCTTATGCTTATAATAAAAGAACGGAAAACACAATATTTTGGTTACATCATAAGAAATAAAAAGCACTGGACGAACATGACCTCCATAGAACTATTCAGGGCTGCTACAAATAAGATTAAATGGGCAAATGTAATGGCCAACGTCCTTAAGGTTAAGGCACCGTAAGAAGAAGAAGAATGAAATCATCAAAAGCGTTAACAAAAGAAGAGGGTACAGAATAAGAAACAAAGAAATAAAAATACTTTTTTACGCAGACGACGCAATAATGATAGCCCAAGATAAAGATAGTCTGCAAATACTGGTCCACAAATTTACCTTAAGAGCATAAGAATTTAATATGACAATCTCATCTCAGAAAACTAAAATAATAGTTGTCAGTAAAGAACCAACCAGATGTAAAGTAGAAATGGATGGCATCAGTATTGAACAAGTAATGGAAATAAAATAACTGAAAATTACACTGTCTAGCTATGGACACCTGGACAAAGAAGTGAGAGATCAAGTACAAAAAGCAAATAGGGTGGTAGAATGCCTTGAGATGTATATATACAGACGAATGTTGAGAATTCCATGGGTACAAAGAGTTACTAATGTTGAGGTACTTCGTCGAATATGTAAACAAAAAGAATTACTAAGAATAATCAAAGAGAGATAAATGCAATACTTGTGTCATGTGTTGAGAGGTGAAAAATATGAATTACTTCAAGTTATACTGAAAGCAAAAGTACAGGGCAAAAGATCAGTAGGAAGATGCCAGAACTCATGGCTGAAAGACCTGAGGAGATGGTTCGACCGCTCATCCGCAGAAATCTTTCGCGCAGCAGTTTCCAAAACCACGCCGCCATGAGAAGAAGAAGAAATGCCTTAACAACACTATATGACGAAACAGATACATTAACACTGAGATGAAGTAAAGAATTTATGAAGCCAATGTAAGACCAATAATGACATATTTCTTAAAAACAAGACCCGACACAGTACTAACGCAAGGACTACTGGAAACGACAGAGAAGAATTACAGGAAATACGTTAAGAAACCGAAAGAGAAGTGAAGACATCAGAAGAAAATGTAACGTACAGTGTATAAATGAATGGACACAAAATAGAAAAAAAATGGAATAACTACATAATCAGAATGGACGAGACCCGTGTCGTCAAAATAGCAAGAGATAAGTCAACAATCGGCAGAAGAAGTATCGGACGACCGCGCAAAAGATGAGTGACAACCTTCCTTCTTCTTCTTGGGGTTCCTTCTCCTAGCGGAGGTTGGAAATCATCATCGCTATTTTAACTTTGTTGGCCGCATTTCTGAATAATTCTAATGAGCTGCAGCCGAACCACTCTCTCAAATTTCTTAGCCAGGACATTTTGCGTCGTCCTGGGTTTCTCTTCCCTTGTATCTTCCCTTGCATAATCAACCTCAGTAATACGTACTTCTCACCCCTCATTAAATGTCCCAGATATTGAATCTTTCTAATTTTAACAGTTTTTATGACTTCACATTCTTTCTTCATTCTTTGTAACACCTCTATATTAGTTACTTTTTCAATCCACGATATTTTATGCATTCTCCTGTAGCACCACATCTCAAAGGAGTTTAATTTTTTGATTTCAGACTGCTTTATTGTCCACGCTTCCATGCCATATAGTAAAGTAGAGAAGACGTAACAACGTAGCATTCTTGACAACCTTCCATAGTGGTATTAATCCGCCAATGAACAAGCAGAATAGCTTATAAAGAGGAAGAAGAAAAAGAAGAAAATTGGCATTCTCAGCAAAACTCAGCTTGTTCGTATGATTTTTACAGGTTTAGTAGCATTTTTGTCTCTGACTACTAGAGTATAATGATTCACTTCTATATCTGTTGGTTCTGATTCCAAGTAGGAGTTTAAAATAAATATAGAGATGACAACATGCGTCCTTGTCTGAATCGTTTTAACAAAATTGGCAATTTAATATGTAAAAAAAATGTCATAATGTAAGTAATAGAGTAAACAACGGCATACTATTCCTCAGCTTTGCCGATGATCAGGTTATTCTAGCAGGTGACGAGGAAGACGCTCACTACATGGTAAGAAAACTTAATGAAGATAAGGCCTGGAAATAAATTTTGATAAAACGGAGTATTCGTAGTAAGGGGAAACAGTAGAGACTTGGTAATGGAAAATCGAGCATTAGTAAAACCTAGTCAGAAATACAAATATCTTGGGTCATTAATTTCGGAAAGGGCGGACAGCGACGAGGACATTAGAAATAGGAGAGAACTAGGAAAATTTGTAATTGGGAGTTAAAAGACGACTTTATAAGAGGATTATAAAGAGTATTGCGATATACGAATCGGAGGTGTAAGGAATTACAAAAAAAAAAAAAGAAAATAAATTAAAAACACTCGAAAAACAAAGTCGAACTTGCGAATTAATTAAGTTATACAGACTCACTAATGAAGAGATGAGAACAAAATCTGAGATTGATATAGATATAATAAATACCATAGAAGCAAAAAGGGGTTCAACCACTTAAGGGCGGATGCCAGAAAATAGATGACCTTTGAAAATATGGAAGTCAGCTAATCAAAAGAGAAGGAGACCAAGGAATAATTATTGGAACAAAGCCGTGGAAGATGACATGTAAAGTAAAGTAAATAAAAGGTTACTAGATTCGGCTTCGGACTGTTCGGCTTTTGTTCTTTCGTCTCCAGCATTGTGTTTAAACATTCTCATATAGAATTGCCAGGATGACGAAATTTGAACACATTTTCTAGAAGCCTATGTATGCATCGTCAGCAGATGCAAAGCGTTGTACTGTCGTTTTATGAACCTGAGCGAGATCTGCTGTAGACGTTAATTACTTGGTATTATATAACAACTCATTGGGGGAATTGTGGATAGAGTATTAACTTATCTCTATCTCGAAAAAACATTACAGATTAAAACGAGAAATAAGTACTAAAATTTTAAAATTAGCTTACCTATTTCTGGTCTGGGCAGTTTTGGCAGTTCTGCATTAATGACTCTTCCAGGAAATAGGCTCATTACGTCCTAATAAACAAAAAACTTTAAATATATATTTATCACCATCGCATCGTTTACCTGATATATCATTATCTGTATCTGTAACTATATACAGTAACTGACTTACTCCACATAGATCCAAAATTCCGTGGGCATTCAGATATTGTACTATGTGATCTATGGCAGATATGAACGCTATGTAGTTGAGGGTGTAGCTGTCTTTGATATATTTTTTCACCAACAGGTTGAAGTCATCAGCAGATAAAAGTATTTCCAGATACGCAAGGATTCTGGCAAAGTGGGCCACGGTTACTGTCCCGTTGTTTTTCGACACCTAAAAGAACTTGTTACTGTACCTACATAACTTAAAAAAATTGTAATCGCTATGGTTTAGTGCAGATTTTACATTTATCGATTTTATTTTAATAAGCTATTTCATATCGAAAATAAAGCAAATAAGCTATAAAGAATTCTTACTAATTCATAGTCTTGAAAATATGGTCTCAAAATAATCTTCTTCATATTGACCAACGAAGCAATTTTTGTAAGCAAAACGTTAAGTCGCCTTTCCTCGCTTATACTGAGACGATTGGTATGAAGAGGATCTTCCCATTCCAATCCGGTTACCAGCGGGGCATTTTTGCTGAATTCAGGTACTTCAAAAAGACATTTATAAAAAATTTATCCTTATATGTAGATGTATATATATATATATATATATATATATATATATATATATATATATATATATATATATTAATTGTATGATATTATTGATACCAAACATAATTTTTATTTATTACAAATATGATTTATAACTCGTCCTTCAATGTTCATTGATTTTTATTGTATTTTGTTTTGTAAAAATTTGCTTATCATTTGTTATTGGAACGGAAGAGTTATTATATTTGCAATAAATCATCATCATCTTTGGCTCGACAATCCTCTGTGGATCTTGGCCAGCTCTAAGATTCGTCGCCATTCTGCTCGGTTTCTGGCAACATGTTGCCATCTTCTGATTTTTAATATCCGTAAGTCGGTTTCAACTCCATCTAACCACCTAATTCGCGGTCGGCCTTTGCTTCTTCTTCCTACAGGTGGTTAGCTTTTTAGTAATCGTATTTTCATTTTCAATAAATACAAAAGAATAAATAAGAAGATGGGATTGCTGTACATGGCCAACTTATAAACAACATTATATAAGTAGACCATAGGTAGACGATACAGTGCTGCTGGCAGATAGTGCGCAGGGGCTCCAAATGATAATGGATAACGTTGTAGAAACATGTACAAATACGGCCTAAAACTAAATTGCAAGAAGACAAAAATAATGATCATTAGTAAGAACACCGGCATAAACGCCTAAATTACAATTAACTATACACCGTTGGAAAGGGTGGAAAAAAATATGCTATTTGGGCTGCAATATTAAAGATACTTGGGATCACAACTACAAAATAAAAAAACTCGTATTGGAAAAGCCAGAAGCTCTTTCAATAGCCTTAGGAGGATTCTTTGCAACTTATCTTTAAGTATCAATATACGCATAAGAATTATTATATGTTACGTCTTTAGTGTACTTCTCTATGGAGAAGAAAGCTGGAGCCTTACAGAAGATGCCATAAAACGATTGGAGGCATTTGAAATGTGGTGCTACCGACCTATGTCGAGGATCTCACATATACAACACACAAGTAACATAACTATTCTCCAGAGGCTAAGAAAAGACAAAAAACAGAAAATTGGCTTACTTCGGGCACATCATGCCTAATGATAAATACCGACTTCTACAGTTGATTCTACGGGGCAGGATTGAGGGTAAGAGAGGCAGTGGACGTAGACGTATATCCTGGCTGGTCAATCTTAGGAAATGGACTGATCTAACGTCAACTGATATATTTCGAGCTGTTATGAATATAATAAGATGGGTCAATGTGGTCGCCAACGTCTCTAAAAGATTGGCATATTTAGAAGAAATAAATAAAAATTATTTTCGGTTTCGGTAATTTGAGAAAAATTTGCAAATTTGTTTTTTAATAAGAAGTATATAATTGCTTATTATGTACATAGGTTTTAATTGCAAACCACTTTTCATAATACAAATTTTCTATATTGTGAAATATAAAGGTAGGTACTTTACTTTTGAGTGAAATTCATATTTTTTGACATACCTTGTATAATATTGATAATTTGGTATATGATGGTTGTATCTTAGATTTTAGACCATATAGAGCTTTTTATGTAGAATAACTTTAGTTCCTGAACAAGAAGGAAAATGATTTAAAAAAATCACAGTGTGTTCCAAGGAAAGTAGGTAACAATGCAATTCAAATACCTTTTGAATGTATAACTATAATATGACTGATATTACCAATAATATATATATATATATATATATATATAGTAATAATATATCATTATATCATTTTAATTTAAAAATCACGAAATAAATAGATATAAACTAACTTGGTTGTTTGCCAGAAGTCTAAAGGCAATCTGAAAATATAGAAGTAGCAAAGAATACGTACCACTATCGTGAATAACTTCACATAATTGGGTGTAATATATTCGTCCATCAGGCACTCTAAAATAGTCTGCAAGTTCAGCGACTTCTTGTTCTGATAAACCAATCGTAGCCCTCAGCTGCCTGTTAATGACAGAAATAAATTGAGATTCTGCAAAAATAAATAAAACAATTAAGTACAGATACTAAAATATTCAAGAATCTAGTTTAGACCTGAAATGAGACAGTTTTTATGTGGATCCAGTGGTAAAAAATAATCAAAAAGGTTTATTCCCATACGAAAAACTGCAGCCCGTATTTTGTTACATGTTCTCCATACATCTCCTAATTTAATTTCCTAAAATAAAAGATTTATGCAGGATTTACTATACTTTATAACTGCTATAAATATATTTAAACATAAGATCTTACCCTGTAATGAGGCATTTTTCGTTAATTTCGAATAGAAAATTTAAACAGAAGCTTTTTAGAAACGCTCAAAAATATAATCTTTTGACAATCAATTGACAGTTTACTATGGATCTGCAACACACATTTTACCTACCTAATTAAATATAATCGGTATAGATTATTTAAATATTAAATACATATTAAGTAATGGGTCTTATTTTAATAAAGATTTAAATAGGTTTCAAACGCTGTATCCACCTCTGTCCTTAAAGTGGTTTTGCTTCTGAAATCGCTAAATTCAATCATTCGAGGAGTTAATGTTTGCTACTTCTTATAGTAGTCCCCTAGATACGATCAATTAGACCTGGATATAAAATAGGAGATCCGGTTGTTGTGGATATAATAGTCATGAGAGGACCATCAAAATAAAAAGAACTTTTTCTATCCAAGAATTTTTCTGATGCCAAGAAAAGTTTGAAACCCTTGGTAACCAATTACTCGAGGCATTATATTATATAGGACAGAAGAATATTAATTCAAACAACAAAACTCCACCTTCTGCAATTCAAATTTATTTTTCTTTTTTTTGAAACTGCTTCAACCACAAGGGTTATTAGCAATGGTCGATTTGACAGATAACATAAATATAAAAAAAATAAAGAATATCAATCACTTTAAAATTGTGACTTTACTTGTGATTAAGATTGTGTTTAAGATCTTCTAAATGGGTATGGTACCCCTTTAGGTTCCATCAAATAATAGAATTAAAAAAAGTCTCCGGAGATGAATCGCTAGGATCATCGGTAGAAGTATTACTTAAAATTTGTTCTGTAATTTTGTTTTTAATTCAAGAACAACGGGATTTAAGACATCTTGGACTTAACATAGGATTTATTTTCTTTAGAAAGTCTATCAATCCTTCAATATCCTCCGAGTAAATTCTGGCGACACTGAGAGGATTTGAAGAACCATGCGCATTTTCAAAGAAGTCAATAAGTTCTTCCTGTGTTAAGTATCCATTGTTTGAGTTTTCTTTGAAGAATTGACTGATGCATTTGGTAAGATCTTCTACTAGGTTTCTGTTGTTTCTTGTTGAGTTTTTGATTTTCTGCTTCGTGACGGTTCAGCGAGGGCATTTTGGTTATCTCTTATGGGGAGGGGGTTATATTATTTCAGATAGGTTTCATTTAGGGTGCTGGGATGAGGATGTATCTTGACCAAAGGTATACATTTGAGTCTCATTGGGTAGATCGCAGCTTATCGGAATATGCTTATTTGATTGACAAGTAATGATTTTTCTAGACGTTTAAGCCTCAGAAAGAGAAGATTGTGTAAAGGAATTTATCGACAAAGGAGCTGCTTGTTGTACTGCCCTTTTAGTCTCAGTAGGAGAGGATTGTGGGTAATGACGAAAAAAGATGAAGCCCAACTCAGGACATTCGAGAGAAAAATACTGAGGAAAGTATATGGCCCGGTACAAGAGGAAGATGGCACATGGAGAATCAGGAGAAACGACGAGGTTAATGAGTTAAATGAAGGTAAGGACGAGGACATTGTAAGATTTGTGAAAAGTCAAAAACTGTCATGGCTGGGACATGTGCAGAGACAAAACGATGCAAAAACAACAAAGAAAATGTTACAATGGAAGCCCATAGGAAGGCGAAAAAAAGGAAGGCCCAGAACGAGATGGTTGGATGACGTGGAAGACGACCTGAAAACAATGAACATAAGACAATGGAGAAGAAGGACACAAGAGAGATCTGAATGGAAGGACATAGCCAGATAGGCAAAGACCTATCCAGGGTTATCATGCCAAAAGAAGAAGAAGAGGAGAGGATTTTGTAGAAGAAATTGTCGAAAGGGGAGCTGATTGGTGTACTTCCTATAGAGAGTTTAGATGAACATTATTTTGAGTGTTGCTTGAAGGAGTCTGATTATTTTTATTGGGACACTGAGATGCAAAATGTCCTTGCTGCTTGAATAAGTAGCAAGATTGCTTTTTGATAGAAAAAAAAATTCGATAGTTATTATCCTTATGGTTAATTAACATAGAATCAGGTAATTTGTCTAAGTTAGTTGGCGCTATAAAAGTCTATCGTCGGAAACACAAGATATACTTGAATGCTGGATTTGAAGTCCCTATCCTGAGAATGTCAATTGGAGTTATTAGATGTATACTTAAGTTTTCCAGTTGTTCTTCTATAACGCTGCGGAATAATTGGACACACGTTGGAAATAATCAATCGTTCATTTGGAGTTATTAGTTTTCGGGCTTGAATACGTTATTGATTAATTACTACAATTCCATTGTCGTTTGCTAGAAACTTATCGACTGTCTGTTCACTGGTAAAGAGGATACAAATACAAACATTTATAATTTTAGAAACAGAATGTATTTATCTGGCATCCACTTTAGAAGTTACTGCATTAAGGTAAACTTCAATATTAGAGTTTGGGAGTGAGTGAACTAGAATTGCTTGTCTTTTGTTTGGAAATTTATTTATAGGTTCAATAAGAGCTGTAGAATATAATTTTGATGGTTGGTTTACATGTAGATAGCCAGAACTTTCCATGGTGGAAGTTCTTGCTGCTGAACCCATTTCTATGCTTAGGCTAAATAATCTGAATACGGCCCTGGTGCTTATAATGGATCATTACCGGAAGGGCTGGTAATTATCTTTACGCCAAACCTGCAAAATAGTTGTTTACCCTTGATTTGGTATAGATGAAATAGGAAAATCAAACTTATAGTTTTTAGTCCAGAAGAAGTAACACTTTTACACTGCACCTTGGTTTAAATTTTAGATATCTACATTTGAATAAAAAAATTCCTTATTTTGTCCAAACTAACAAGCTAATATTTTAATTCAAAATTGTAATTCCCAAAGACCTAATTCTTTTTATGATGACCTGCCCCAGTGACAATTCCTTTTTTTTTTTGTCTAAATAGTGATTTTGTGATTAGTTTTTTTTACTGTTCTTCAGCAACTAAATGTTTTTCGGGCGGAAAACTTCGAGGAAAGGCTAAATATAAGAGGTGGGACAAGGTTCCACGAATTTGTTAAATGTTAAATATTTAAGTTAATTAAGAAAGTTAATGTGGATTTCAGTACGAAAGATTTTATAGCTGCTATTGAAGATATACCAGTTCTTTGAGACTATAAATTAGAACAATAAAAATATTTTTCAAATTTTTGTATTACTTTTTGGTTATATGTCTCTTTATCCAGCTTCGCCGTCGAATTATTAAGAATACATTTGTTGTTAATGTTATTTTACTGAGATTCAAGTTTAAATCAAAGAATATACCACCCAACTTAAACTTAAACTGTTTAAACTGATGTGTTTCTAATCCTAACCTAACCTAACCTAACCTAACCTAACCTAACCTAACCTAACCTAACCTAACCTAACCTAACCTGTCAGCCACCGGTGTGTCATTTGCGCGGCTGACGAACAACCCACCGGTGGAAGACACCGGTGTCGAACACTAGTCTCTTCGTCTGAAAGGGTAATAATAATCTAATTTTATTTGCAATATGTACATGTTTACCAAAGACACTAAATCTATTACGATGGGGTATGTTTTTCAAATTACTTATAACATAGTAAGCTTCTTGTGCTTGCTCTTCAATGCGATTTAATTTCTTTTTACTCGGCTCACTTAATTTGCGAGGTTTTTATGCCATTGACATATATATCCATATTTTTATGTATTTTTTTTTGTAATTTTATTAATTTGTTTTTTATCTTTTATGTATAGTATGTCTGCGGCTATGATAGGTTTTGTCTTTTGTTTTTTCAGTGGTTTTTTATAGAATCGACATTTTTGTTTTTGTTGGTTTATGCTTGTCTTTTGGTATGTCGTTTCGTATTGCGTAATTTTAAGTTTGTATATTCTTCTTTAATTATAATGGTATATTTGGTTATGTATATTTATGTTTTTAATTTCACCTTCTTGTTTAAATAGAGTTTTATACAGTCCACTGTCTTTCATTTCTCTTCTTTTATTTGAATATACATACCCATTTCGAAAGGAGGAAACCAGCGAGTTCTAGATTGAACAGAATATCTCTCCCCCTTCAGGATTATCTCTCATCTTAATTGTTATATTGAGGTCATCGCGGTCAACACCTTCTCTGCATTTATAATTTTTGTCTGTTGCATTCCAAAGACATGTATGTTGTTTATAATTGTCTATTATATTAATGCAGGCTTCTAAAGCCTATTTAAATACCATTTTAATAACCAAATTTAGAAAACAAAACAAACAGTTTGAACCTGTCAACAACTAGCGTCTACGACTAACTACAAGTCGTCCACACTAATGTTAACATGTGTCGCTGTTGCACAATGTTGGAGATTTCCTTTTATCTTTACTACCAAAAACGGAAATGCACAACATACTCCAACTGCGGTATAAATATAGTGCAAGACAGTGTAACATACTACAACAACGGCCAACTTTTATGTTGTTGTTGCAGTAAGTTGTGGTATGTTGCTTTGATGGACAGAAAGCTTAAGTACCACCCAGTTCACGTTTAGGAAGAATACAGGGTAGAAGGAGTTATGGAAGTAGACGCATCTCTTGGTTAAACAGTTTGAGAGCTTGGTTCTTCTTCTGCTTATCTTGTTAGAGCAGCGGTATCGAAGTGTAAATTGCCTTGATGATTGCCGACCGTCTTAGAGGAGATGGCACATGAAGAAGAAGAGTTAACGTTTCGCGATGGCGTGGCAACTAGAGAAGTATTTAGCGCAAAATGTGCCAATACAATGCTTTTTGGAAACTATTTGTAAACAAAGATGATTACGTTTGCTTTGTGGATTTTAAGAAAGTATTTGGTAGAATAAGAGATATCCAATATATGATAATTTTAAACCAAAATCAAATATTCAGATGAGATATTTAAAGCATAAAAACCTATACCATAACCAAAGAGCGCACACAAAAATAGACAATATAACATGAAAAAACATCAAAATTAAATAAGGCGAGAGACAAGGACGTCTCATATCCTTTCTACTTTTTAATTCGTTGCCGGAAACTACCATGCAAGGGGTACTAAATGTATCTTGAGGTATTATAGAAATACATTTTAAGTGATTGTAAATGGGATAAATCCATGACATAATTTTCAATAAAACCATGGAGTGTGTTAACAAAAAGAAAACCTGGCCATTTAGCAGCAATAATAATTTTTCTTTAGAATTAAGACCAAGAATTAAAATTGCGCACAGAACATTTATCAGACTGAAGCAATCCTTTAGCAATATAAATCCATATGTTATATATTCATTATCATCTTATAAAAGAAGTTATCTTTACAAAAAACATTATCAAAAAAATTTGTGGCTTCTATACAGCCATAGCTCAAACCTGATATATGGCTGCGTAGGAGACTGCTGAAAAAAATGCTACATAAATAGAGTTACCAGTCGATAAGTCTTGACGAAAACTATCAAAAGGAACCGAGCTTATTGATTATAAAAATACGAAAATTCCAATATCTTAAGCAAGTGAGGGCAGTAATAGGATACCAGATGCTACAAATTATTGTACAGAAAAAAATAATGAGAAAACGTAAATACAGTGTGGAAGTTTCGCTAACGATCTGATTATTCTAGTTTTGTTTCTATAAAGTGAACATAATATTTATTTTAATAGAAGATTTAATGTCAACTTTGATCAAAAATACAATTATTGATAATAGCAAATAAATATGCATAATATACCCTTCTCATGGGTAATCTTTTGTGAAAAGGTACAAAATGTTAAAGAATTGTAAATAGATTCATCGCACACTTCTCTTATATATTTAGTTATTATTAATATTTATGCAGTCAGTTATCTACAATTATCAAAAAAATATCTAATTATTTATAATTTTTTAACTATAAAAATATTCAACCTTGAGTAGGTCTACGAACTCTACGACACTGTCTTCCTACAGATCATTGATCCTGTTTGCCGAACTTGAGAAAGTTGTGCGTCACGTATAACATACGAGAACAGTTTCGAAATACGTTTATTATCCTACTTTACTCGTACGGTTACAAACTAACCCAACCTAATTCATAACGTATGTCTGGATTGTGATTCTAACAACCCGGCTTTTCATTCGGACGCGTTAAAAAGTAGATCTGTTTTGAAATCTTGTTCCGCAATTGGCTGGAGAGACCGGTAGTGACGTAGTGGGGCAAGAAGTAACGATTTACTACGCGATACCGCTTGCCGGCGTCACTTCATCGTTCTCTTCTCTTCTTGTGATAGCGAAGGTAGGACGTGGTATTAGTTGTTACTTTGTTAGTAGCTCTTAGGCTAAGTATTTATATTAGTTTTTTTAATTTATCGGCTCACAGGCAGTTCTAATGGAGAACGGTGAAGATTTTTCTAAAGATGTCTCAGCAGAGCATCAAAATGGATCAGGTGACGCTCCAGCAGATAGTGGAAGTGCAGAAACGCCCGGTCGTGATGACGATAGGTAAGTGTTATTCTTTTTTATATTCTAAATATACATGAATTTTAGTTATTTCGTAGCTATTTGTCGTATATTTTGTTTTATTAAATTTCCGATGTAATGATTATTTATAATAAAATTTGGCACCTCGTTTTTCTCGTATTTAATCTGTAAACATCTTACTAATAACAATTACTTTGTAATATTAAATCGTCAAATTTGTATGTTTAGATCGTAAGAAATTTGAATAACATTGTATTAATTTGATTTAGTAGATATTTTGTGATAATTTGGCATTTTTTTATGAAGATCAGGCCCAACTAGCTTTTGAAGAAAATGGCGGATGACGCTCATTGATTTTTTGGCGCGTTATTCAAATCCAGTTGTATACTAACTTGAAGAGTTTCCTAAAGAACGAGTAACTTTTGTATAATTAAAATTACAGCTTGTTTAAAATTTGCATTTCAGGAATCTTAATTTTAAAAAAATTTTTCATTAACTTGTTCAAATTCATTAATTTTGGGTCAATCGAATTAGATTCAAAAAAATTCGGGCCGGTGATAGGATGCCAGGATTTAGGATATTTTTCATATCCCATTTAAACTTGGTTCCTTTTCTCCAGGTGGCTGAGTCAGCTAAGTGGAAGATGGGAAGATGTGGAGGACATTGGAGCACTTTGGACCCATGGTATTTATCCTTGGGCACTTTCTTCTGCCAACACTTAGTAAAACAGAACCAATAATTTTAATTTGACAAATTCAGTCACGAACCATTTCATAAAATAAATGATCAATTTTAAAGTTAATGATAAATTTGCTGTAGTTTTGTTTCACACTTTTTTTTATTTTATTGTTTTAAATGATAACTTTCAGATCACTAAGAGATTGCTGTTCCATTTGATTGATACTTTTGCAGATCCAATTTTTTTCAATTTGTTTTTACTTACAGTAAAGTCATTTGTAAAAATTTTGATTAAATCAGAAATTAAATATGCTAAAAAAGATAGGAATTGATCATGCCATTCTTCATTTTAAAACAAGTTTTTTATTTTCAGAAAATTATTTGTTGGTGGCATGAGTTGGGAAACGACTGATAGTAAGTTTTACTTGTTTTTTTAATGTAGAATTTTAGTCAAAATGGTTTATTTCTGTTGTACAATATAACCAAACCACTTGAGTTTAATATTCTGTCTTTTGCAATGATGGTATTGTGAAATGTTTTATTGCTTTTTTTCAATTTCAATCTGGTTGGCCCCCAAACAATTGGGAAGTTTCTTTTTAGGAATCCATTTTTTGAATTATATTTTTGTATTTGCCATCCTTTGGTTACTACAAATTTTTCTGTTCCCACAATGTCAACCACCAAACAATATTTTGGTTTGGCAGTGTTGGCATATTTTTATGTGTTGTATACTTCAAATAAAGAGAATGAAAGTATATTTCGAAGTCATATTATTTTAGAATTCTGCATTTTTTAATTTATATAAAACATGAAAATATTTCTCTTTGATTAATCTGCCAATGAAGAAGTTCTACGGAGATTAACACAACCATATATTTGGTGAACATTGCAAGGGGCCTTAAGCTGCAGTACTTGGGATATATAATGAGAAATCAAGACAGGTACGAGCTACTCCAATGCATTTTGCAAAGTAAAATTGAAGGAAAAAGAGCACCAGGACAAAGGATAGAAAGATGTCAACATGCCAAAAAAAATTCTATTTGCAATTTTAAGTTTTTTTTTATTTGAAGCATACATATACATTATAAAAACATGCCAACACTGCCAAACAAAATATAATATTTTCCATCATTGAAATTTGCAGCTATAAGCTTCTATTTTCGTTAATGTTAAACCAATAAACACACCTGATGGTACTAAACAGACTGTAGATTGATTCCAAGCAGGACTTGAAAAACAAAACTTTTGATCTGTTTCAAAAAATGCTAGTTTTCATAGTTTGCGTTAAAATTTCTATGCTGAAAGTTTGAGATAGCAACAAAATAATCACATACCCTAGCTTGTAAATTCCAAATGCTATGTACAGTTATAACACAGTTGCGCTATAGTTTGTTGTTTTTCATCTGATGTTATCTTGATGATATGAAGATCGTTTAATTTGTTTGAATAACTTGCAGTGATTTGATTGTTATGGGGGACAGTAATGTAGATGATTTTATTTAATATTGTTTAAATCAAGTTTCTGGAAAAGTCTGTTCAAATTATAAAATATCTAAAAGCTAAATACTAGTCGATTGTTTTTATTATACTTCATATGATGCTGACAATAGTCAGTTCTGCTACTGATTACAGTTGAGGACACTTACCACTTCTGATGCTTCTGATATTTAAACAAAATATTTCAGTTCATCAATATCTGTATTATATGATCTTTAAACTTTTAGGGGAATTGAGAGAACATTTTGGCCAATATGGTGAAATTGAAAGTATAAACGTAAAGACAGATCCCAACACTGGTAGATCAAGGGGATTTGCATTCATAGTATTTACCACAACAGAAGCCATTGACAAAGTTGTAGCTGCAGGTGACCATGTCATTAATGGCAAAAAAGTTGACCCTAAAAAAGCCAAAGCAAGGCATGGAAAAATATTTGTAGGTGGTCTCACCTCGGACTTGAGTGATGATGATATCAAGAACTATTTCTCACAATTTGGATCGGTAAGTTTTGTATATTTGTTATGAATAGTTTGATACCCCGACGCCACGCTCAGTTAGATTTTAATGTCTGTATATAGAGTGTCAGTATAGGGGAATATTATATCCCACTAGGAAACAGGCAAACATTTTATTATGATTTTGCCTGTGCCGAAAGTTGAGGAGACAGTATTTATTGTTGGCATTCTCATATTTTCTGCTTAGCTATATCTCAATACATTCAGTAACAATTTATTCTGATAAAAATCAAAATTACACAAAAAAGGAATACAAATCACTAAATTTATAACATTTCATTTATTTTGTTTTCAGCTAATTTTTAAATATTTTTCTTTCAGATCATTGATATTGAAATGCCATTTGACAAGCAAAAGAACCAAAGGAAAGGATTCTGCTTCATCACATTTGAATCTGAACAAGTAGTAAATGAGTTACTTAAGCAACCCAAACAAACGATTAAAGACAAAGAGGTAAATAAAAATATTATTGTATCTTTTGTACTCCCCGACGCCACGCTCGTTCAGGTATAAATACCTTTTCAGAGTGCCAGTATATTACTAAAAGGGGAAGATCGAATAGCCCGCTAGGAAACAGGCAAGATTTTTTAGTAATTTTAGTCTGTGCCGAGAGTTGAGGATACATTTCTTTTATTTTCAAAGATTTTGTCTGAAATCATTGTGAATGAAGAAACGATCTTCTAGTATTTTTTTTTTATTTCAAATATTGAATTGTAAAACTTTAATCAAGTACATACTTTTATTCCAGCTTACATACAGTCCCATAATTTTTAAGCATATTTTATGGACCTTTGCTTCTGTATTTAGTATTAGTTATATCTATTTTGCATTGATTTCATGTCAGCTTTAACATTTTAATTTCTCGTACTAGTCCATCACATCTCCAAGCACTTAAAGCCTGGAATATCAAACTTCTTAAATTATTTACCACTGTCTCCAGTGTTGTTACTTCTTAAAGTGTTCTCTGTTTGGGCTGTGTCTAATTAAAATGGCTATTTCTATTTTTTTGATAAATCTTCAGGATAACCAAATGGACTGTTGGATTGTGTTGACGTTTTCTCTGGCTTTCATACACTTTGCCCTAATGAACAAGTTGCAACAAGTAAACTATTCTAAGTCTCCTTTCAAATCTGTATTTTGTTGCACATTTGTGAATTTTTCTAAAAATTGGGCAGATTTGATATAAATTCATCATTTATTACAATAATTTCTTGGACAACTATCTCTGAAAATAAAAACTACTGGTTATCAATGTTGCTCTGCAGTCTGGTTTTTGTAAAACCAGTAAAATAATTTAACATGATGACTGACACTGTCAGTTCTGCTACTGACTGTTTTTGAAGACACTTACCACTCCTGACCTGAGTAAATGAAAACTTATAATATTTTGTAATTTGAGTTTTTGTTGACTTTTTTTTTTCATTTATTAGGTTGATGTAAAAAAAGCCACACCAAAACCAGATCAAATGGGCGGTCCCATGATGGGCATGCGCGGTATGCGAGGCAGCAGAGGTGGTCCTATGAGGGGCGGTCGCGGTGGCCGAGGCGGTTACGGAAACCAGAACTGGAACCAAGCCTATGGTGGCTACGGTGGTTATGGCCAAGGATATGGCTATGACGGCTACAGCCAAGGTTATGACTACTACGGCAGTGGCTATGGGGGTTATGGAGGTTATGATTACTCAAACTATGGCGGCGGTAACTACGGTAAATACACCCACAGGACACATTAATAAACTTTTTACTCCCAACCGAGATGTTGTTAATATCTCGAGTGGTGCCTTGTAAGCTCGGTGTATATGTCAAGTGATAACTGTGTCAGGGTTGGCTGTAGGAAACTTGTTACCAACTATACAAAAACGTTATTTTTGGCCAAATACATTTTATAAATTGTAAACCTGGTGACAGGTTGTATTACAATACATTGTTAAATTTTAAGTTTTGACGAAACCATCTGTTGGTATTTTTCCACTTCCTACAGCTAACCCACTCTTAGTTCTACACACAGGAAGGTCATATATAACAAGTGTGATATTCACACTAGAGACTATGTGGTCTTGAAATATTTTTTTTATTATTTAAGGACATATTTACACTAAGTCGACAGTTGTTCTGTTCCTATACATAAATTATATGTTGACCTTTATACATATATTTAATAGTATGGAAGAAGATACATTGTGAAAATATCTAGAGCTTGAAATAAAGCATTTGTTGAAATTCTACATTCCCTCAATAATTAATTTTTTTCTCTTTTTCTTCCTGTACCCACCCCCCACACACATCAATATCATTTTTAAATCTTCATTGTTGGGGCATTATTGATCTCTAATAAATTAACTTTTGCAGCTTTCACTTAACAAATACAAGGGTGAAATTTCATCTCTTCCAACTTTTTTTGCAGATGTTTTTTGCTGTATTAAAAGTTTCTGCATTGATTCTAAATATATAGGCTTATAAAATGATTTCCTAGATATTCTGTTCTATTTTATTGACCACTTTCATCATATAATGGCATTTGATTACTGAAATTAATTTAGTTCACAAGAAGTATTTGAAAATGATATCTGATGTGTAAAATTTAGCTTGGAAGAGCTTGTAAATTTTGAAGCATGCCAAGCTACTAGGAACAGACAATAATTGAGTATGTATACCTTTTTTTGTCAAGTTTTCAGGGGTATTTCACAAAAATTTTACACTTTTCCATTTTTCTATGCTTCTGTCTTTTCCACAAAGTTTATGATATTTATACATTGCATAAATAAACATTCTCTTTATTTGAAGTAATTTTGAGATATTCAACAACTGTGTTTCATGTTGGGAATGTAAATACCTTCGCTTAAGTTTTTGCTTAGTTTCTACTCATGTATGTTTTTAAAAATTTTTTATATAGTCAATGAGTCTTTCTGCATACTTACCCTATGCAGAAAGTTCAATTTATAGCATACTATTCTAAACTTACATGAGAAAGAGCGCTAATATTACTACTCACTATTGTCTGTTCTGGCATATAAAATTTTTCGAAAAGATGCAATCCTGCTTATAAACTAAAATCGGTTGTTTTAAGCGTTTTTTAATATGCTTTGATTGAACAATTCTAATAAAATCTGTTCTATACCAAAAAGCAGACCAGGGATATGGTTATGAAGGAGGATATGGTGGTGGTGGTGGAACCGGACGCAATGTTAACACTCGTGGAAAAGGTACTTGTGGTGGTGTTCTAGAATTTTAAACTTTTTTCTCTCTTAAATTATTAGTTTCCTGTAAAACCTTGTATTGGTGGATGTCTCAAAAAACTGTAAACATAACTTTGCCGTTCCTAATAGTTTTCATTTTGAGAACTTTAATTTGGGACATTTTTTGGTTGTTAAAAGTACCTCTTGTCCAAATACATTTAATGCCAAATTAACTTTGTTAGTCTTTCAAAGACAAAATGTTATCTGAATGAGACTCTGCCACTCCAAGAAATAATTTTAAGAGTTAACTTTTTAGTTTAGTCTTCAAATTTTTTGTTTTTTCTTTCGTTTGGTAAGGTCGAATCGTAACCTGCGTTCTTAAAACTTTGGAACATTTCCACAATACAAGAAAACAGCACTGTTTTTTTACTAAACTGTTTGCGTCCGAATTGTTTGATTTGATTGCAGCTTGCTCCAAAAAGTGAAACAAAAAAAAAGTTAAAAAAAAAGTACGCGATAGAAAAAGTAACCCCATTGAAGAGTGGCCAAAACAACGCAGGTGGCGAAAACGAACGAAATGTTTTTGAGTTGACAAAAGAGCAATTAGTGAGTAGGATTGCTATAATATTAAAATTTTTATACTGCTCTTCCTTTTCAGGTGGAGCCGGCGGTTACCAATCTGGTGGTGCGGCTGGTGGTGGCGGAGGCGGTGGCGCCAAACAAAGAGGAGCCGGCCAACGCAACCAAAGGTTCCAACCCTATCAGAAGTGAGGCTGGTTAATATCATAAGAGAATAGTTCGTGATTCAACATTTTCCGGTAAGTTTTCTTTCTTTATTTATTTATTAACAGAACCCATTTACATTTTAAACCTTTTTTATATTCCTTTTCTCCTTAAAATATCAATTAAAAAACGAGTATTAGATTTTTACCATTATAGCAACACTTCACAAAAGGAGTAAAATAGAGACCAAAAATGTGTTCTGTTAAAGTTTTTAAATGTTGCCTGTCTGTAAATGTAAATGTTTAGACTGTATTTATATTTTTGAATTTTGTTTCAGTAATAAGTCATCTCATCCTCAACTGAATTTTCCAATCATTCCATTTCATCGCGGCGCTTGGAAAATATACCCGACAACGTACAAAATTTTTATGTTACAAGTCCAACATAAAAGTCAACTATCCAGTCGAGATTTTTTTATTTTCTTTTTGATAAATCGGTTAGGAAATGTTAAAACAATTTAGGATGGTCTTCAAAAATATGAATTTATATATAAATCATAAATTGAGTTTTGAGTTAGTCAAAGATATTTTCTCTTTTTTTGTATTATGTTTTTCTTTTTATTTAACTCTTAGTATGATGTAAACGTAGTTTTTAAGTTTATATGTATAACTTGTATGAGTGAAAGGAGGCGTTGTGTACTTCCATTGTATGACAAAATTTAATAAAACGATAAATTTTGTGTAACTTCTCGATTTTTTTTATACATATTGTCCCAGATTTTGTACAGAAAATATTTAATAAAGAACCAACACAATTCTCCTAGTTTTATTATCCTTGTAGACATTTAAGAAAAACAGATTTTTACAGAATGAGGGATGAATATGTGAACATATGCAGTTCGCTGTAAAATTTTTTGGACAGTTGCAGAGGAGAAAAACCAGTTAATGAAAATAGCAACTTTGGAAAAGTTCACTCCATATCAAATTGATTCTGTAGATAGCTGCACACGAGTTTGTTGTGGAACGGATGGCCTCTTGTTTGTAATTAGTTTTTGCCACAATTTTAAGTATTTCTATTACTTTGAAAAATTAAGGCAAATATCGAGCACAAGTTTAATAATCAAATCTTGTAAGTTCACTTATTGGAGGATTTAATCTCGCTATCAATTATTTCTATACAATATGTAAATGTTTTGTAGACAAACGATTTTTAAGTTTGTTTAAAAAAAAAACGCTGTGTATGACTTCACTGATTAGTTATCAGCTAACCTTAATAAGGCTTAAAAAGACTAGAACCTTAAATATCTATTAAGATTTTTACTGAAATCAATGATTTTTTTTTTCACAGATTGGAATATAAAATGAGATCTTTTTTATCAGTCTGAGCTATCAAATTAGTATGGGAAAGTTCTAGCTTGTCTGCAGGAAAAAGGACCAATGATAAAATTTAGTAACTTTACTTTTATGCCTGTGTAATGTAAGATAGCAAGGTAAATGTACAGCCTTAGGAAACAAAATCGAATACATTGATCTTATGAAAAATTTAAAAAACGAATTGTTTATCTAATAAAAAATAATGAAGATGCCTCATCTTCCGGATTGAGTAGTGGGTTGTTATAGTTCTTGTTTTTGTTTCAACGACTTCTTGTACCTCTTCAGTACTTGTTTCTAGATGTGGGTGGTTTCGTTGGTTGTTTGAATCCTGGTGATAGTCTAAGGAGGATGTCTTAACGAGAGAAAGGATTTCCAGAAATGCTCTCATAATTTTGTTTTTTTTTGTTATATTTAACTATTTGTTACGAGTTGATAATAATTATACAGTTGTGAGTTATGAAACAGCGTTATTCAGATTTTTACATTAAGCGATATTGGGATAACATGCACAAATAAATGGATATTTACAAAAAGAACAACTGAGAACAAGAATGTTGACTGGGCTTGCACCAGTAAGAATTTCTGAATAAAATGGGTATTTACAATGGAGACCTTACTTGCAAATTCTGTAATAATGAACCAGAAACGGTAAAACATATAATGTGATTGCACGGCACTAGATCGCAAAACACAAAAACTATATGTGCAACTAAGAAAAGACCTTGGTATATTTAGGATATATCAAACAAAAGGCCTGTACAAACTTCTACAAGGCATATAGATTCTAGACTGGGTGCAGGAAATAACAATGACAGCAAACACAATAAGCTTAAGTGATAACAGAGTTTCAGGTAACTCCAGTTTTCAGTTTACTATTATGTACAATAGTATATAATAATCTGTACTAATAATAATAAATCATTCAATCACCTACTATCAATAACGTAGGAAGAATGCATAGAAAAATGTGGCTTACAGTGTTTAAAAATATTTAGATTAAAGCTTAATGTTGGTTGCATATAGCGTAGATCTTGAAATATTAAGAAAAAAGAAATATTTATAGTTAAAATATATTATGTTTTATTTAAGGTATGTATTATATGTTGATATTCAACAAAATATGTTATTATATTTTCATTTTTATAAAAATATACTCAAAATAATTCAAGGGGTGCTGACTTGATCTATGTATGTCACCAACCAAATACAGAAATAAGGAAATATTAATCTTTTTTAATAAAACTATTAATCAATATTGTTTTGGATATAAAGTAAATTGGTTCTATACAATTTTAAATTTTATTATATTGTTTGTAGTTTATATACTTATTTTAGTCACACAATTCGAAATTGGCGGGTAATTGACATTTCCTGAAGTACTGCGCGGGAAAACGGAAGTGCTCCGAGTTCTAGATTACGATAGGACCTTGATGGCGCTGACATTCATGCGGATAAAGTATGAATTAACAGCACCAACTCTAACTTTACTTACTTGCCAATTTATGAAGTTTACACCCGTGTGCTTTGCTTCTTTGGCATAGTCTGAAAACAGTTTAAATTTTAATAAAAACTAAGCCGAAACTCTTTCTTACACATAAAACTTTCAAACTGTTCCCATCATAAGCATTAGAGAGATCTGCGAAGGTAAGCAAATATAATTTTTACTAACGCCTTGTAGTCTGTTCCACGCCGGTTTTTATTTCGACATGGACAGGAATGTCCAATCGTGACCCATGAATACATCGAAAATAGTTTTTACTTTCAAGAAACACAGTTTTAGCTTTGGAATACGGCGTTTTCTGTAATATTTATTACTTCGCATTCACTCACCCACGGAATTTTCTAGACATTTTTTCCTGTGTACCTGAGAATAAAACCAACATTTTTCCTACCTTGGAATTCTCTTTGTTTTGTATATTATCCATTTATAATCCTTAATAACATCAAGAGTCTATTAGGTAATTCAAGTAAGCTAATAACTTATTATAAAATTTGTGCTGTGATGTTTTTGTACCATCTGCATTTTTTCATTACAGTTTGCAGGTTATTTGTCCAGCAATTATTTCGGTTAAAGCAAATCGTTAGGAATGGTAATGGAGGCTCCCCCATCACCCCAAAGTGTAGGAAGAGAGTTTGTGAGGCAGTACTACACACTGTTAAACAAAGCACCCACCCATCTTCACAGGTAAGTTAAAGTATTGTCTTAATAATTTTAACCTTAAGGCTCTATTGCATTAATATAATAAATTACCTTAGGAATTTTGTTAATATTTATAATGAATATGTGTCTAATGAAGGCATACATTTTTTGTAAACTTTTGTAGACAACAATGATGTTTTAAGTAAATATATATGTACACCTACCTAAATATTTCTCTACACATTTTTCATTGGTGCCTTCCTTGAAGGTCATATTTGCATACATGTGTGTATTGATTACACTTTTATACTCATAATACACTGAATATTTTTTACAATAGTTATCCATACTTTAACCTAAAAGGATATTCTTTATTGCAAATGTTTTTGTGTGAATTAAGGCTACATATTTTTCATTAAAGAAATTGTAAATAATTTACTTGAACTTGAACCAAAATATTAGAGATAAATAGTGACCAATAAGCAAGCCAACATTTGTAAACATAAAATAAAAAGGGTATCTAGACTCTTTTTATAAATTAACAATTGGTGTATTGAAAGTACAAACTAAAATTACACTCTGAATAATGAATATTGAAAAGAAGTCACAACAATATTAAAAAACGTTTAAAAGAGTAACGTAAAAAAAGATTTATGCTAAAGTATAAATTTAATAAGTTTGTTATCATTCTGTCTTTAGGGGATTGAATACAATAAAACATTGAATTTGTAGCAAAATATTGACTCTTGTATATATACTAAACTAAATGTTCTTTTAACATATTCAGAGAAAGATTGTAGAAGAATATATAATGTAAAGCAGTAAATGTGTCAGGTGTGTGCACATGTGTCTATGTACAGATTAAACCAAAAAGTAAATATGTTATGCAAAAAGGTCTTTTAAGAAATATCTCCATATTTTACTATTTGAGTATTTTTTGAAGCATTTTCTGCTGTAGTTTAAGGTCTCAAATTCAGGGTTGGGCTGTTTTAAAACAAGCTTAACAACGTTTTAAAACATGTTTAAAAACACTGAAAAAAAAAACAGTTGCGTTTTAAAACATTGTTTTAAAACATAGTTTTTTTCGTTATTGTTTATTATTATTTTGTTTATTAACATTTGTTATAAGACATTTGTGTTTGCTAATTTGCAAAATTGCAAACATAGATTATAGAGTAAGTAGGTGCAATAACAATATTAATGCGAAGTAAAAAGTAAAACTCAAAAAAAGTAACTGACTAAACTTTATTTATGTTCAGGTAGCAAGCTTACTAGTACTGTTAGACAGTGCTGTAGTAACATTAACTAAACCAATACTCATAATAAAGTTAAAAGAAAAAGAAAATTAAGAAATTAAGTAAATAATTATTGAATTACAAGATGGACAATTGCTTCTTGCATTTTTTACACTCAGCTTTAGACACTGTCTTTTTACTTTCTCTCCCATCCTCAAAATTGATATTCACTTTAATTAAATTAAAATTTATCCAAATTGGATCTCTCCGCCTTCCTTGACTTGACATAATAAACTTAATATAATTTACACTGTATACACTGCAACTATCCACTAGAAATTAAAATAGAACTGAAGATATCAATATGAAATTATATTATAATAAAGCAGAACTTAAAGCTTCCAACATATCCTGAAAAACTGAACAGGTCGCGTTTTCGCGGGAATCCCTTATGTGTGCCAGTTGAGGTTTATGGGAATCCCCTTTAGAAATCCAGTGAAGTACGTAATTATTTTAAAACGTTTTTTTTGTGATAAGTGTTTTTTTTTTAGATAAAAAAAACTGTTTTAAATCAAAAAACATTGTTTTTAAACAAAAAAAAAACATGTTTTTTGTTGTTTTTTTAAACATTTTTTTGTCCAACCCTGCTCAAATTAAATATTTGTTTTTTAAAATAATATTTTCGTTTTCTAGCTAGCTTTCTAATTTGTTTTTTTTGTTTTACTGTTTTTTCTAATTTTGTTCCCCAAACTTTTAATTCTGGGTAACAAAAATATAACATTGAATAATTCTAAAATAGATATTTTTGGTCTAATATTAATATACATGTATAAGAAAGACATTCACATTTATTTTTCATTATCTATCATTTATTTTTGTGTTTTTCTTGTTGATGATATTTAATTTTGGACATTATCTAATTAACAAATTGATAAAATACTTTTTGTTATGAAACTATTGCTCCACAGATACTAAGATAACATCAAGTACCATTTAATATTTAGTTAGATAAAAGCATAATTAATATGATAAGATTATTGATACATCATTTTAAGGCAACATGATTTCCTAGAAATTTGGTTTATCTTATGATGATACAACTTTATCCCTTTATTAAGTATTCTGTATTTATTGGAATTGGCAATTATGATATCTATGTAAATATTACATTCTGGGATTACCAGAAGCATGCATTTTTTTGAAATGAGTTTTTAAAGAAACTTGGTTTTAAAACCTACTAAACTCAATCTTCATAATTATTCTCTTTCATTTTTGTAGTCTTTTCTTTTGTATTATCATTAGATGATACACATGTTTTCTTTCAACAACTTCTATATTTCACTATACTTATTTTTGCAGTTTAGTGTGATTTAATCTTCTGTGTTAGTTTATAATGACAAAATTTTATATACATACATACATAATTATTGTTCCTATTCTATCATAGTATAAGGGTGAATGCATTAGTGACATACGTACTGAAATGTGTAATAGCCACTGATATATGAATGGAAATGTTTCTCACCTCATCTTGTCTTGCAAGCTATATCACTTTACGAAAAGCTTGAAAAATGTATAATAATACAGTGGCAAATAAACTAGGTTGTGAATATAAATGCTTATATATTTTTTGTGACATCATAAATTGGGAACTTCTAAAATATGGTGGAGTTGAGTTAAGAGCGTAGGCGCAAAATTTCAAGCCAATGCTTTTTAAATACATTCATTTTTTCGAATCCTGAGAAAACTAATAAATATTTTTGAAAAATTTAAACGCAGAATGAAAGATTATATTACTACCGAGGGTCGAAAGTCCCTTAGAATAAACAAAAAGTTTCTTTGAATGAGATATTTTAAATTAAAAATCGCGCTAAATTTTCTCTTTTTTTTCACCTCTGTAACTTATTAAAATAAACATTATAGAAGTTTTTCAGCCTCAGTAAAGCCCTTAGTAAGGCCCTCAGTAATAATGTAATCTTTCAATCTGCGTTTAAATTTTTTATAAATACTTATTAGTTTTCTGAGGATTCGAAAAAAAATGAATGCATTTAAAAAGCATTGGTCGAAATTTTGCGCCTACACTCATTAAGAGAAACACTATGTCATTTAATAAAAAAACATTGAGATGAAAAAATATGTCTGAAGAATGGTACAAAGTACAAATTATCAGCCTGTCAATCTTGAATCATGTCAACTTTAATACAACACATGTTATAGTTTATTTTTATGAACGAGAGAGTAATTAGCATAATTTTAACTGGTACATCCGACCACTCCATGGGCGTGCTCAAGATTAATTGAAAAATTACTTTGAATAATTGTAAAAAATAAATGAATTATTTCAGTGTTATAAAGTGTTATGTGTATGTAAACAAAAGTGACCTCTTTTATCACACACTATATTAGAACTGACTGGCCTACATTAAAAAGGGTTTTAAAAAATTCACATTTTTTTTAATTTTTAAAAATTACAAAAGAGAAAAAGAGTTTTTAAAACCGTCTAAGGTATGTTAAATCGATGAATAAAAATATTAATATAAAACTTACAGCTACTTGTTACAAATCCAAATCAGATTCAGAAGATGAACTTTCAGAACCAAGATTTATAATAACTGGCTCGATCATTTTATCAGTAATATTGTCCAGCTTCCACATTTTTTCCTCTTCTTTAATAGTGTGATTTACTGCCTTTTCCCAGTTTTCAGGTTTTACATTATATACGGCCTCCAAAAACAACTGTTTAACATCATGAATTTTAAAAGTGGTATTTTTTCTTGAAACTTCACTCTTTATCTGTGCCCATACCAGTTCAATCGGGTTTAATTCACAATGATATGGTGGGGATCTAAGTAGTGTCATTCCACGATTTTTGGCAATTTCATCAATTTCGTATTTTTTAAATTTTTCTTTATGAAGGGCACACAACGAATAAAGTTCCTTTCTTATAGATCCGGGATGGTACGTAATATTTTTTGAACTCAGCCAATTCTGCAAGTCTTTTTTTAACCACTTGGTTGTGGGCAGTCCTTCTCTAAGTCTGGAGTGATAACTTGCATTATCCATTACTATTACACAGTTCTTAGGAAGAAGATCTATCATTTGTTCGAACCATTCTTGAAAGACATCAGCGTTCATGTCTTCATGGTAGTCACCGGTACGAGTTGATTCAAAAGTTAATAAACCACCTTCAACAAAACCGTCTGAACTGCCAATGTGTACTATTATCAGCCTGCGTCCCTTTCCTGATGGTGGGTTCAAACCAGTAGATAAGTTATTTACAAAAGCGTGCCTTTGACTTGTAACAGTTTCATCCTGCCAAAATTTATTTGGTGTATGACCCTCGTTGATCCATGTTTCATCAAGATAAAATATTTTTCTTTTTTGGTTTCTTATTTCCTTTATGGTTCTTAGAAAATGTCTTCTCCATATGAAAATATCGCTTCTTTCTAATAAAATAGACTTTCTGGGATTCTTTTTCCAGCGGATGCCTATTTCTTTTAAAAGTTTCCATAACATACTTCGACTCATTTCTGGGAAATCCTTATCATCTCGAACTGAGACAAGAACTTTATCCAATGTTGAAAATTCTTGTCTAAAGAAGAATTCATGCACTTTCCATCGAAGTCCTTCTTTAAAATGATATTCTATTTGAAATTTTGGTTTCCCTGGAGCATTACGTGGCATTTGAAAACTACCACATTTCTCTTCTTTAATAACTCTGTAAATCGTAGATTTCCCAACACCAAGTGTACTGCTAACTAACTCAACGGTCTCATCAACACTTTCATATAAACGTTTGTCTGTAAATGA